GAGCAAATCAATATTGGAAACAACACAGCCAAAAGAATGTTTAATATATGTGAATTCAGTGTTTAAGGATTTTAAACATACAAATTCAGTTATTTCATAAAGTGGCAAATTTTTAATTGTAGGAACTATAACATTAAGGGAATCAAATTAGCAATAATTTACAAAGTGTGATCTTTTCTCCTTCAGCTCTTTGTTAAATAACTAGTATGAAATGCTTGATAACACACCCAGGGTTGGTGGGGAAAACAAGCACTTCGATCCACTGCTGATGGGAATCTAAATTGGTACAATTTCTGTGGTGAATAACTTGACAATATCTAACAAAAGGTAAAGGATATATACCATTCTACCCAGAAATTTCATTTCTATAAATATATCTAAACATATACTCAAATGTGGTCAAAATGATGTATGTACAAGGCACTGTTCATAATAGCAAAAGTCTGGAGATGACTTAAACATCTATAAGAGGAGATAAATCATAGGTCATCTATTCATTGAAAAGAGAGCTCTGATGTCACAGTGGTCAAGGCACTTGGCTGCTAACCAAAAGGTCTGCGATTCGAACCCACCAGTAGCTGTTCTGTGGGAGAAAGGTGAGGATGTCTGCTTCCATGAAGATACACACCTTTGGAAAGTACATGGGTCAGTTTTACTTGGTCCTATAGGGTCACTAGGAGCTCTGGTGGCATAGTGCGTAAGACATTTGACTGCTAACCAGAAAGCTGGCAGTTCAAACCCACCAGCCACTCCTTGGAAGGAACATTGGGCAATCTACTTCTTCAGAGATACCGCCTCGGAAATCCAAGGAGGGGTTGCTGTGAGTCAGAATCCACTTGATGGAAGGAGCTCTGGCAGCATAGTGTCTAAAGCATTTGACTGCTAACCAGAAAGTTGGCAGTTCAAACCTGCCAGCCACTCCATTGAAGGAAGACTGGGCAACCTACTTCTATAAAGACTTACTGCCTTGGAAACCCAAAGGGGGTTGGTATGGTCTGAAATGACTTGATAGCAGTGAGTTTGTTTTTTTAATAGAGTCACTATGAGTCAAAATTGACTCAGTGGCATTATGTTTAGCTGTGGTTTATTTTTATTATTCACTGAAAAGCTAGTTAACTATAAAAAAGAAAGAAGGAGTTCCATATGGAATAATTTCCAACATATAGCGTTAATGAAAAAAAAAAAAAAAAGTTGAGGTGAAGTACATATAGAAAGCTACCATGAAGGTTGTTGCTGTTGTTGTTGTTATATGCCATTGAGTCAAACCCGACTCATAGCAACCCCTCCTTGGGTTTCCGAGGCAGTATCACCATGGAAGTAGGACTGCCCAACCTTCCTTCCGAGGAGTGGCTGGTGGATTTGAACCGCCAGCCATCTAGTTAGCAGGCAAGTGTCTTAGCCACTATGCTACCAGAGCTCCCACCATGAAGGTAGGGGGTAGGAAAAAAGTATGTATTATTGAGGTAATTATATAACCATAGAAGAGCCCTACCTGGTGGCACAGTGGTTAGGTAAGAGCTCAGCTGCTAACCAAAAGGTCAGCAGTTCAAACCCACTAGCTACTCCATGGAGAGAGATATGGCAATCTGCTTCCAGAAAGATTTACAGCCTTGGAAACCCTATGTGGCAGCAGTTTACACTGTCCTATAGAGTTGCCATGAGTCAGAATCAACTGGATGGCAATAAGTTTGATTTTCTGGTTTTATATCCATCTGTATCTTTTAATTTTGTATATATACAATGTTGTGTATATACATATATCACCTATATAAAAATTAATTTTAAAAACTATGTATAGCAAAACTGTATTTGTGAAACACAAACATTTGTATATGCCTAGAAAAAATACATATTATATAAATTCAACAATAATTTTACACAGAGGGTATGATTGGTGGTCTTTTACTTTTTCCATGATATAGCTCTATAATGTTTATATTTTTTACAATGGGCATCTATATGTGTGATGGAAAAAAAACTGTGCAACAGATAAACATCTTTCTTTTCTTGGTCTACTGAAATGCCTACATTTTTATTTCCTATTAAAGTTTGTGTTGTTGTTGTTAGGTGCCATCAAGTTCTCTCTAACTCATAGCGACCCTATGTACAACAGAACGAAATACTGCCAGGTCCTGTGCCAGCCTCACAATCCTTGCTATACCTGAGCCCATCGTTGCAGCCAGATGTGTCAATCCATCTTGTTGAGGGCCTTTCCCTTTTCGTTGACCCTCCACTTCACCAAGGCATGATATCTTTCTCCAGGGAATGGTCCCTTCTGACAACATGACCAAAGTAGGTGAGACAAAGTCTGGCCATTCTCGCTTCCAAGGAACATTCCAGCTGCACTTCTTCCAGGACAGATTTGTTAGTTCTTTTAGCAGTCCATGGTACTTTCAGTATTCTTCGCCAATACCACAACTCAAAAGCATTGACTCTTCTTCAGTCTTCCTTACTCATTGTCCAGCTCTCACACGCATATGAGGTGATTGAAAATACCCTGGCTTTGGTTAGGTGCACCTTAGTCTTCAAGGAGACATCTTTGCTCTTCAGCACATGAAAGAGGTCTTTTGCAGCAGATTTGCCCAATGCAATATGTTGTCTGATGTCTTGACTGCTACTTCCACTGGTGTTGACTGTAGAACCAAGCAATATGAAGACTCTGACAACTTCAATCTTTTCTCCATTTATCATGATGCTGCTTATTGGTCCAGCTGTGAGGATTTTTGTTTTCTTAATATTGAAGTGTAATCCATACTGCAGACTGTGGTCTTTAATCTTCATCAGTAAGTGCTTCAAGTCATTCTCACTTTCAGAAAGCAAAGTTGTGTCATCTGCGTATTGCAGGCTGTTAATGAGTCTTCCTCCAATCCTGATGCCATGTTCTTCTTCATATAGGCCAGCTTCTCGGATTATTTGCTCAGCATACAGATTGAATAAGTATGGTAAAAGGATACAATCCTGACACACTTCCTTCCTGATTTTAAACCATGTCGTATCCCATTGTTCTGTTCAAACAACAGCCTCCTGGTCTATGTACAGGTTCCTCATGAGCACAATTAAGTGTTCTGGAATTGCCATTCTTCACAATGTTATCCATAATTTGTTATCATCCACACAATTGAATGCTTTTGCGTAATCAATGTAAACATCTTTTTGGTATTCCTTGCTTTCAACCAAGATCCATCTGACAACAGCAATGACATCCCTCATTCCACGTCCTCTTCTGAATCCAGCTTGCATTTCTGAAAGTTCTCTGTCAATATATTGCTGCAACTGTTTTTGAATTATCTTCAGTAAAATTTTACTTGCGTGTGATTCTAATGAAAATTATTTTGTAAATTTTCAAAAAATGACAAAGAGGCTCTTGTTCTCAGTAAGAGATTCTTTTTTACAGCTAGAAAAATAACCTACTAGGTATTTTTCTCCACTCAGAGTCCTCTTGCCCAATCATATATTCCTGAGTAATAGTGAGTATTATAAATGTTTTCACTAAAAAGGGCTAGGAGTTATGTTTTTCTTGTCATGTTTCAAATATTCTGGATTTTTTTTTTTTTTTTTTTTGCCCTGATTTGCACTGGAAAATAAGCTTTTATAGATAAGGAGAAAATATGAAGAGTTGCCAATCAAACTAGTGTTTGATTTTCCATTTTAAGAAAGTTAAACAAGTTATTAAACCAAACCAAACTCACTGCCATCGAGTCGATTATGACTCATAGTGACCCCCACTGGATTTCTGAAGCAGTAAATTTTTATGGAAATAGATTGCCCAGTCTTCCTTCCAGGGAGTGGCTGGTGGGTTTGAACCGCCAACCTTCTGGTTAATAGTCAAATACCTTAGGCACTACACCACCAGAGTGTAGTGTAACTTCTTAAAAAGAAGTTATTAGCAGGGTCTAAAGGAAAATATTTCACTGTAATAAAAGTGTTTTCTATTAAGTCATAAATGAAAAAAAAAAATGTCTTCAGTTGGTAGAGTTAAAACTTATTAATCATGATGAATTATAAGTATAGTATTTCTTAGAAGTTTCCTCAAAATGACCTAGACCAAGGTAAAAAGGACATGTAATCTTAAACAAGGAAAAAAAAAGTCTCCATGCTGATTCAAGTGAAATGAAATCCTTCACAACTTCAATATTTTCTCAGTTTATCATGACGTTATTTACTGGCCTAGTTGTTAGGATTTTTGTATTTTCTGTTAACACTGACATGGAAGGAAGATGCACATGATGTGGAGAAAACAGGTCACAGAATAATAGGTACATTGTAGTTTTATTTGTGTTTAAAAATACATATATCTATAAATATACACTATATAAAATTAAAAAAAAAAAAAGTCTCCATTCCTTAGCTAGCCCATTGGGCCTGGGCTAAAAAATTCTAACCTACACTTTTTACAACCTAGAAATATTTACTCTAAGACAGTAGACTATGCTAGAGGGCTGAAAGATAAGGATAAAGCCACAACATCAGGAGGACTATTGGCAAGGAATTCTCATTCTTCCATACTTTTTTCTTCCACAGTCCCCTATACTTCAATTCGGTTAGACGGAGATTATAGGAAAAGGACAAAAAGAATTATAGAGATAAAAACACAGAGAAAGTCTAGAATAATGTAAAAAGAACAGGAGCAGGTACTAAAACTCCTGATAGTCGGCTACTATAGTCTTGATTACTACCATTATTGGAATTGACTCCCATACTTTTTCTCTTCTCATCTTTGTTCTTTTTGCCGTTCTGTTACTCTCAATGCCTCCTATCTTCCCCAAGTTTGCCTAGCTATAAAAAAAGTCATCAAGATCTGACCTATACCTCAGTAGTGCCTCCCTCTGCTGCATTTTTCTATTATGGAATCTCCTTCTTTCAGGAGAAGGCTTGATCTCAATTTCAAAGCCACATGCAACAGTCATGATTCTAAAGTGACTTACAGTCCGAAAATGGCAGGAAATCCTCTGACCTACTGAAAGAAAGAAATAACTATATAAAGGGCTGTATCCACTTACCATGAATCTGCTTTTTTATTTCTTTGGCAGGATCCAGCCACGTCTGTAAAAAGAATAAAAGGCATTCACACAGAGCTCCAAAACATATAAACAACAGAGAACCAGAAGTATGATTACAGATCATCTTCAAATAGTGCCTCCATGTCAACCTACTTTTCTCTCAGTAGTCTCTGCATTAATTTCACATAGTACAGTGATACTGAGTAGAGAAACGGCGCAAAACTATTGGCCTTGGATCACAGACTCTACTATTTCCTGGCTGAGTGACTTTAAGCAATATATGTCTCTGTACTTCAGTTTCTCATCTCATAAAATGGAATATTAGTATTAGTAGTAGTGCCTGTGTCACAGAGTTATTATGAAGATTAAATTATTTAATATATGTTAAACTCTTAGTAAAAAGCAAATGCTAAATAAGTGTTTACCATTTTTATTATTCAGTACAGACTAGTAAAGACATATAAGCAGGATTAATTGACATTACTTAAACATTATTTTCTGCTTGAACCTCTGGTCTCCTTCAGATTTTCTATGTACGTCATCTAGTATATGGTTCATGCTCAATTAATGTCTACTGGATGAATATCACATTTTCCCTGACTACTCTTGCCTACAGTAATCTCTCCCTTCCCTGTTGTACAACTCCACCAAATGCACACCACTAGAGTTGGGCTCCTCAACTCATGGCAGACCATGCAAAACAATGGCACTTGAAAAGAGCCTCACCATTAACATTTTCCACAGGTTCCTTGGGAGATGTTTAAATACACAAATTTCTAAATTGAATTGTTTAAGTCATGTTTTTTGAAGTATAAGATATATTCAGAAAAATACAGAGAACTTAAGTAGATGGTTGGAAATAGAAATACCATTTGACCCAGCAATCTCACTATTGTTGTTAGGTGCCAACAACAACAACAACAACAACAGTGAGATTGCTGGATCAAATGGTATTTCTATTTCCATCCATCTACTTATGTTCTCTATATTTTTCTGAATATATCTTATACTTCAAAAAAAAATCCCACTACTAGGTATATATCCTAAAGAAGTGAGAGCTGGGACACAAATAGATATATGCACACAAGTTCATCGTAGCACTATTCACAATAGCAAAGAGACAGAAACAACCTAAGTGCCTGTCAATGGAGGAATGAATAACCGAACTATGGTACTGCAGTGTAGTAAATTACTTAGTGTGGCTTTTCTACCCATAAGTCTTTGTAAACTCCAAGGTGGGAATTGCTATTAGCAACTGAGGAGATCCTGATTTTAAAGTCGCCCACCTGGGTTATTTCTGTTGGGCATGGCACAATACAATGTTCTGGGAGGTTCCCACTCTCTCTCACGTGTTTAGAGTTCTGATGCTGTGATTGGCTAGTTTGACCACCTTTCCGGGCTCAAAAGGAGGCCTCCTAGAGGCAGAACTCTCTCTCTGACTGCTGGTGGAGGAAGACGTGCTGCCGAAAGAGACACGCACCGCTGAAAGAGACACGTGCTGCTGGGAAAGAGCCGCAAGAGACACGCATCGCTGAGTGAGACACCGAGGGACCGGCACTGCTGGGAAAGAGACTGTGAGAGACTCTTGGCTGAGGGACGGTGGGCTGGGAGAGAGACTGAGCATTCTTCCTGGACTTGAGTTGTAGCATGGTGCTTCCCTAATAAACCCCATAATCCGTGAGTTCTGTGTGGCCACTGCAGTGAATTATCGAACCCAGGAGAGAGGTGGTGGGTGCTCTGGGAGGAACGGTTGGAGAAAGGACTGGAGGGAGGCAACATGTCTGGCCTGGCAGTAATAGGCCTTGGGTTACTGCTGGTAACCCTGTCTTCCCTTTGTGGAATTAGAGGAGGTCGGAACATGTGGCCTCCTTGTCGTTTTTGTAGGTACATACACACAATGGAATACTATGTAACACTAAAGAATAATGAATAATCTGCAAAATACCTCATAACATGGATGAATTTGGAGGGCATTTCTCTCTCTCTCACTGCCATCAAGTCGGATCTGACTCATAGCGACCCCTCCTTGGGTTTCTGAGGCAGTATCATTACAGAAGTAGATTGCCCAATGGAGGACATTATGGTGAGTGAAATAAGTTAATCACAGAAGGACAAATATTGTATAAGTCCATTATTGTAAAAAGTCAAGGAAAGGTTTACACACGGAAGTAAACTTTCTTTGCCGGTTACCAGGTATGAGAGGGAAAATTGCCAGATATGTAAGAGACAAATATGGATTTGGGTGAAGGAAAAGGCAATATACCAAAAGTGAATGACCAGCACAATAACATTAAGGAAAAGGAAGACATGGAGAGGTGCACAAGAGGTACAGACAATAAAGGTAAATACTTTTGCATACATAATACTGCATTATCAATAATAATAGCAAACATTAACTATGGGTAGATACATAGGTAGACAGGATAAATGATCAGGTATGGGTAGGCAAAAGGGAATATACCCATGACCATATATAAGTTTGGCAGATGGTATTTCTACATATATATCTGTAAGTGTTATAAGAATGTCCATATATATAACAGAGCTAACAGGGGACCAAGTTATGACAACTCCTTAGCCACAGCCAAACACCTTGAGGGAGTGAGTCGCTGGCCCCCCAGGCTCAGAACCATGGTCCTAGGGAACATCAAGCTCAATTGGCATAACATATGATACAGAAACATTGTTCTACATCTTTGGTGAAGTAGCGACTGGGGTCTTAAAAGCTTGGGAGGAACCATCTAAAATCCAACAACTGGTCTCTCCTCATCCAGAGCAAAGAAGAATGAAGAAAACCAAAGATGCATGGAAACTATCAGTCCAAAGGACTAATGGGCCACGCAAAACCTCAGCCTCCATGACCCTGAGACCAGAAGAACTAGATGGTATCTGGATATCACTATTCAAACACTCAGAAAGGGATCAGTATAGGAGATCTTGGATAGAGCAGGAGAAAAATGCAGAACTAAAAATCATTTAAAAAAAAAAGACCAGGTTTCCCAGTTTGACAAAAACTGGTAAAACCCTTGAGACTATGGCCCCTAGTCATCCTTCAGGCCTGGAATTGAACTCACCACTCCCATGGCCAAACTTCCAGCCAAACAATAGACAGACCTACAAGGTGAACACAGGTAAGTACACTCCTTACAACAATCAACCATGCACAGAATTTGCACAGAGAGAGAGTTCAGAGGCAGGACTGCATAGGAAAAAAGGACACAGGGAAAAGGTAATCACAGAGAAGAAGTGGAAAGAGAGCTGTTACACTGTGAGGACTGTAATCAATGTCATGTAACAAAATGTGTATGAACTATTGAATGGAAAACAAATTTGCTTTGCAAACTTTCACCCAAATCACAATGGAAAATAAAAAAAGGAAAAATAAAACACAATAAAATGTTCAGGAGATAAAAAGGAAAGAAAGAACATAAGTAGATAGGTGTATTAAAGTGAACATAAAGGAATATAACATTATCAGCACCTCAAGAACCTCTCACGCCTCCTCACAATCTCTATCTCTTCTCTATGCTGAAAGGTTCACAATCAAATTTAAAAATCATTTAGAAAACAGGACTAAGGTGCCCCCTCTTAACCCTCTACCAACATGGGCAGAGCACAGCGTGACCATCCCATTTGCCCTATACAAGGAATGATCTTGAACATCATAATCTTATGTTTGATTATATATTGCATTGACTGTTATATGAAGACAGTCACCACAACAGAAAATAAACCATAGAGTAGGAACTGATTTCCTTTTATATAATTGTACTCTCCTTCAATTAACACAGAAGATAAAAAAATATATGTTATAAATACCACTTTAATTTTAATAATAAAATTTCTTCATTATGTACCTGGGTGGTACAAACATTTAATGCACTTGGCTGATAACTAAAAGGCTGGACATTCAAGATCACCCAGAGGCACCTCAGAAAAAAACCTGGTGAGCTAATTCTGTAAAATCAGCCATTGAAAAACTGTCCCTCAAATATGACGGTGAAATTAGGAGATTTCCAGATAAGCAGAAACTAAGGGAATTTGTTAAAACCAGACCAACCTTACAAGACATCCTAAAGG